AAGTAACAAGCGATAGGACAAGAGGAAACGGCCTCAAGTTGCGCCAGGGGAGGTTTAGATTGGATGTAAGGAAAAATTTCTTCCCTGAAAGGGTTGTCAAGGATTGGAACAGGCTGCCCAGGGAAGTGGTGGAGTCACCATCCCTGGAGGTATTTAAAAGCCATGTAGATGTGGTGCTTAGGGACATGGTTTAGTGGTGGACTTGGCAGTGCTAGGTTAACGGTTGGACTCGATGATCTTAAAGGCCTTTTCTAACCTAAACGATTCTATGATTCCATGATTCTATGAAATTTCATCCTCTTTTTCCCATACTGTTTGACCAGTCCAAACTTGCATTAATGAGTTTCCTATCTACCATACAGAATATTCACCTAGCTCAACTTGCAGAGCTTATATTTCCATTAAGTACCATACAAACATCAGATGAAAGATTCTAAAGTCCAAATTATTTTGGCTTTTGGGAAACAGAAAGGTTAAATAGAAAACAAGTTGCCTCTCTATCAGTAGTTTTAATGAAGCCCCGTGTCCAGCAACCAGTACGTAAGGTTGAGACTAAATGCTTCACTGGATCATTCTATGTTATTTTAATGATGTACTTAATGTGAAAAGATTTTTTGAAACCCAGTTTAAATGGTAGTGGGGAAGGTACGTAAACACCAGTTCAGTCAGGGGTCACTGAAAGTAAAGCAAAGTTTCTCTAAAAAAGGCAGGGAAACTTTCGATGTGCTGTCCTCTATATTTGGGTGCTCCTTTGGGTGACAAGTGTGCAACCCCATACTAACATCTGCAATGAATTTAGAGATAGAAGAGTATCTTGCAAAAGGGGTAATGCCAGAGGGTTAATGTCCTAATCCTTGTACTATTATTTGCTCCTAATGCCACAAACTAAAGATAACACTAGAAAGTAAGGTGAGATTTACAAAATGCTGATCAATTTGAAATTTACAGTAAGCAGAACTGCTTTTTGATTGCATTTCACAGTGCAGCAGCAGCAAAGTCTTTAGTTATTCAGGTCAGCTCTCACACCAGCAATTGCACCTCTGCAAAGCGAGTTGGGGATACAAGTATACTTTAAGCCAGAGAAGCCAAAAACCCATTTATTTCGATACATTTAAAGCCATCTGAACACTGTGCGGTTCCAAATGCAGCCAGAGATGAGAAAGCTTTTAAGGTTTGTTTGGCTTCTGCTTGAGAAAACTCAGTCTGGGGAGGGCAATGGCCAAGGGGTGGGCAGTGGAGGCTGAAAGTAAGCAGGCAGATCTCGGTGCGGGGGGTAGTGGGAAGCAAGAAGTGGGATAGCGAAGGATACTTCACATCAGGAATGAAGCGTATTTAAAGATCTCCTCTTGCAGTTCAGCACTACTGTAGCAGGCAGGACTGCTGGTTGGGGGCAAGGCTCTATAGGAAGGTGTTCAGCGAGCCCAAGGTTAGGATAGCAGAGGGTGCTGTAGGTCAGGATCTCGGCACCGTCGCAGAGCTTCAAGGAGAAGGGAGGACTCTGCACTGCACTTGCTGGAGGAGGCAAGGTGCACTGCAGGGTCTGCGCAGAGGCAGCTTGCTCATTTACTCAACTTTGTACTGCTATTAGTCCAATGCCTGCTAAAGCTCTCCGTTCCCAACAGCTTTTTTTTTTGCATGCTTGAAAAACAGCAATACACATGCAAATGTATGTGTGTTGATGAAATCCACACTTTAGATGCATAATTTAAGGTGCAACCAGAAATATACTTGGACTTCGGCGGTGCTTACAAATGGATTTGTACCCCAAGCCTTACCTCACACCTAAACATGAGCGAAGACAAACAAGAGTTTGTGCATAATCCACCATGCTGCTTAGTAAGCAAACATGAAAGAGAAAGCAAAGCATTGTTTGGAGGAGGGAGAGAGTTATCTGAGAAATACACTACCAGGTGAACCTTAGATAATCACTGGCTTTAAGCTAAAATCTCCTCATCACACTAATGTAGAGAGTCTTTTTGCAGGTGAGACTGCTGCAGATGCCAGCCCGCTAAGCCAACTATCTAGTTATAGTCTGAGCAAATCTAAAAGGCCAGTATCCACCACAGAAGCCAGTTAACTTGTTTCCATCACTGCCGGAGGCAACTTCTGTAAATAGGATTTGGCCCAGCAGCGAGCAAAGTGAACGGAAAAGCTTCAGTTGCCTTCAGGGGGCACGGGAAGAGGTAAAATGGCCATGACAGTGTGCAGAGGTTTGGAAAGTTTTCAGCCCAAGAAATATCCCCGCTATGAGTACCCCACACTCCACATCACAAACCTGCAGTGCGCTGGGGCCAATGCCAACGCCCTTACAAGCACAAAGAAGGCACGTTCAAAATTGTGGAAGGGCCTCATCCCCACCACGGTAGCGCCACAGTAAGAGTCATTTGCAGAATAAAACCTACCACCATTACAACCTTTGCAGGGAAAAAGAGAGAGACACTTGTTAAAATTGCTTCCATTTCTGAGTGTCATGCCCATAATTAGCTACGACCCCACACTAACTGCGTTATAAGGCGCTGTGAAAGAAATGATGGGGAGGCATTTTTAGCCAGCCCCTCAGGTTTTAAGAAAATAATTGCTTAAGCCTCATAAAAAATATTTTTTTCAATTGATGAATCATTTTGACTCATTTTAGGTTTCAAGTAATATTTAATAGTGCCATGCAGTAAAGTAATTGTGGAATTAAGAATTCATTCGTCACTCATGTATGTTCTTATTTGAATTAGATCAAATTAAAATTATTATTTCTTTTTTAGAAGGATAATTTAAATGACAGTCAATGTGTTCGTCATTTCACCAAGAATATAGAGAAATCTCCTAATATTAAAAGATTGTAATCAAACCTTGTCCCCCCGTGCTCTTTCACACACACAAAAACACACAAACATACTGCCTCCCTCCCCAGGTGTGTAAAGCTTTGTTCTTGCAGCCCAGAAAACAGAACACTCGAGTAACCTTTCACATAACACTTGAGTAACCTTTCACACTGAACTCAGAGTCTCTTTCTCCAAGTGAAAATCACGCTTTTGAGGTCAGTCCAGACATGCCGAACACAGGATTTGAGACTGAAAAGAAAAATGTCCGAGAGAATGAAAAATGTGCTTCTCTCTCCAGGAAGTTTTACAAAATTATTTTTATGATCAGAAATAATTTACCGATGGGAAATGAGATGCCAGTTACAAGGAAATTCAACATTAGTCCCCATAATTTGTCCTGTGAATTGCTCACAAATCTCAAAGCACTTGATCAGCGGTACGTTCCATAACCCAGAGGATGCGGTGCAGGAAACCCTGTGTCCGTGTTACAGATGAGGATGTGAGTTTGAGAGACCCTAACCACAGTCTGAAGTACTCTCCCATCTGCTCCCTTCTTCATCCTCTCCTTCACAAAAAGACGGCTCCTCTCCCTGTCTGAAGGGACAAAGGAGTGAGGAGCGGATTTTTTGAGCCTGATAGAACATCATCTGCAGACAGACGGGGAAACAAGACTCAACCAAAGGGGATCAAAAAAGCAAAAGGGAACACAAGAGCAAGACCAAGAGCCTGTCATTTGGGTTTTTCAAGTGAAATGTTAATCAGGGCCTAATGAAGGTTCTTTAAAGCAGCTAATGTTTAGCATGGGAGTTAGGATATGGCTGAACCAACTACAGTCAATACTCCTTTCATGTGGTGGAGAAGGAAACGCTGATGTATTTTCAGGCAATGATGAGGTCAGAAGATCTTTCAGAGTCTGACCTGGCAGCCATGAGAAACGGAAAGCAAGAATCCCACCAAGACACGGGATCAGCCTGGTCAGTCCTCTCGTAAGAGTAGAGGGCTGGAAGGGAAAAAAAGCTATTAAAAAAAAGGGAAAGGGCTCAAGATTGATGAGGTGGGCAGTAGCTCATATTTACATATCTGGGGCCTCCTTGACAGCAGAAAAAATAAGTTAACCTGAAAAATAGAAATCTAATCTACATTCACTTCCCAACTTGTCAAAAGCCCTCAGTGTAAAGCAGCCGCACTTGGCTGCACAGAGGTGTTCCACAGAGGGACCCCGACCAATAAATCTGTTTGATTTCCTGTTATGAGAAGCAGACAAAGAGATATGGCTAGGGATGGGCAGAGCTGTCTGCATAAGGGAAGAGCCTGTGCTTTCACCCCAAACTCAAACCCACCCTCTCCGAGGTTAGGAAAAGTTCAGTTCACTTTGGGGATTTTTTAGCATTATTTCTCATTTTCACATGTTCCCGTGGGAGCTGGAAGTAGATGGGACAAAGCATTTCTTTCCTGCTGGCAACAAGCAGCCCTGAAAGTGTCACACAAAAGTTTCTTCTTGAGACATTTCCAGTCCAAGGGTGTGATTGTACAACCCCTCCAGATGTGAATAATGCAGTGACATTTTTAATGGTTTTGCTGTTGGTGAGAATTTCTTGGCATTACTCCACAAGTGTTTTCTCCCCACCACTTCTTCCTTGCTTTCTTCGCCCCTTCATCCAGTGCACGTTACACATAAACAGAAAAGGAAAGCAAAGTTTTCAGATCAAAAAGACTTTTTTTCCAAAACCCTGGGGAGAACCTGCACAATGGTAACAATATTGCAGAACAGCAGCTGTTTGATAAGGTTCCTCTCAGGAGGTGACATCAGAAGTCGAATGCTATTTTGCCCACAGTACATAGACTAACAGCCTGACCCTGCAGTCCCCGACCAATAGATTGTTTCACGGCATAAATTTTCCAATAGTATAGCAGGCCCACGACAACATTTGAAAGCAATTAGGATGAATGTGGTAGCATTTCAATGTATTTTCTGAAACGCCACAACTAATACCCATGTTCCTGCAAATGTATACTTTCAGTATTGCTGGTAATTGCCCTACACCTTCAGCAACCCTCACTAAATCATCTCTCAGTGATGACAGCGAAAGGTTTCAAAACCTTTGATGGAAACAAGACCATGGCTATGGATGTAAATTTGCTCTTTTGAGTTTAACTTGTTGTTGGTGTTTTTTTTTTCTTTAGAGAGACCCAAAATCTATGAAAAGGAAACTGATTTTGATAAGATTGAGCGGGTGGAATTAAGAAGCAAACACAAAATCCAGTGCACCGTAAGCGGGAATCCTGACCCGAAGATTGAGTGGAAGTGGCAGCCCTGCAGCCTCACAGACACACTGTAAGTGGACATTCCTACAGGTGAACATGTTGCAAAACAATTTGGTAGTTTCAAGTCAGTTTTTCTTTCCAGTCATCTTATTTATCTTAGTTAAAAATCACAAGCAGTGATTCCCCACCTAAAGATCTCAAGGGTTATGAACCCAGCAGACATCTAGTTGCGTATGATCTTCTTGGAGTTACAAGCACCTTCTATATTATCAGAGTTGCATCAAGTAAGTTTAAAGTGACTAAAGATCAGGCTTGAATTTTCTTTAACTTGACCAGCAATGCCCCTCTGACTTACCAAGATCTTTTCTTGCACCTCTTGGATGCAGCCTACATGGCTGACAAAGAAAAAACAGAGGCGCTCTCTGTGGAGAGGTAACACACATTTTTCCCCGTAAGACCTATCGTCAGACAAATTATGTAATCACCATATGGAATTTATGCCACTTCCTAAGGGCTGTCTTCACTAGTGCACACTGAGCATGGGCTCCTGTGGCAGCATCTGCGTTGCAGAAGCTGGAAGAGGTAACCAGGCCTTCACGCCTTACTGAGGACCCTTCTTTGCTGAAGTCTGGAGGCAGCCTGAGGTGTGAAGACACAGAAGCAAGTCACTGGGTCAAAACCGTCAGAAAGGAATGAGGCAAGTTAAAACACAAGATGCCTTTCGAGATTCGCCTTATACAGGTAGACATTTTCTTTGCTCCTGCTGTTATATGAGCGGAGTGATCTATAGAGAGAGGTCTTGGCTGAGGTCTGAATACTTCCCCTGGTAGCCCCAGGGGACATACAGGAGCCATACATTTCTGACTGCACTTCAACTCTTCCCTGCAACGAGAAGGCTGAAATCAGGTTTTCCATCCATAAAAAAATGAAGGCAGGTCTAGGAAGCAAGAGAGAAAATTGCTGGATGGTTCCTTATTTTCTCACCATTTCAATGCTTTTCCAAATGCTGTGTATGGCGAGTCATGAGACAGGGAAAAATCACAGAGAAGCTCCTTTCCCAGGTTCTCTGCTGCACCAGTTGCAGTGATGTTGCGCGATCTAGTCTCAGGTTGGGTCTAAAAAGTGACCTTGTGTCCCTCCACAAGGGAAGTAGCCCGTTACCTCATTTAGGTAGTTACACTGCTCCTGCAGGAATAAAACGGCAGCAATTTGTAGGCTTAGGTAGGGCTGCTGGCACCGCAGGTCAGCAGAAGGCGTCCAAGCTGCTGCTTCGGAGGTGTTCAACAAGAGCAGAATGAAAACACCATAAGGAAACAGGTTATGCATTCTGTAGGAAAGCCACAGAGATGACCTGAAATCTTTTCCAGACCTTTCTGTCTAGGGAGAGAGAATTGGTCATGAATGCCGAATTAAGCCAGATTTGAACCAGTGACCTCGTATAACCCTTGTTCCAGCTCTCTGACTCTCTGATCTTATCAATTTAAATACAATTGCAGAGTGGTGTCTACCTCTTCTGGCCTCCGGGGCAGCCTTATCTTTTTCCAGCAGAAGCTGTAGGAGGATTCCTGTGGGAAATGACACAGACCCCATTTCCTTCTGTTGTCTCACTTCCTCTCTCTCTCTCTTTCTCTTCCCCCTCCTCACTAGTGCACTTTGAATCCCAAAACACTATCATTGTTCCTTATAGCTGTGATGTGATTTGCTTCCTTTGAGTTTTTCCCTTTATCCTCAAGACAGAACTGTGCCTTGCAGGAAGTCACTCAAGACATCTTCTGATTAGGCTCTTTCGAGAGCTATAAACCCTCCCTTGACCCAGGGTGTTACCCATGTGTCTTGTGCGGATTTGGCAAAGGCACAGCTGGTTTATGGATTAGTTTTCTGCAGCATCGGCCCTTGGTCATCACCTATAGAAATCCATATTTGTTTTACCTCCTATAATCCCAGTCTGCTACGGTGGGCTCAGAGGCTGCTGGGACCGGCCGGGGGGGGGGGGGGGGCCCCGCGGGGGGGA